GTCACAGTAGTCATGTGACTCGATGACGCAACAATATTATTAAAAATATATCGTTTGCAAACGTCATCTGTTTCCAATAAAGTTTTAAGCCTGGCCATGTCTACTTTGTTTGATTATCTAATAATTATTGAAAAAGTTCCTCTGCTAAGTGTAAGATGGAAATTTTAAATAGAAAAATTATCTACAACTTAATAGTTGTTTACTTCTTTATATAATGAATTAACAACATGTTTAGTCAATAGTATCGTGTCGAACTTTAACAAAATAAAAATATAAAATGCAGTTAATCTTAAGCGTACTGTTAATACTAATTAAACTTACTGCAATAACAGTATTATCTAGTAAAGAACAGGGTAAAAAGGATTTGTCTTTATTACAAAATGCATGATTATCTGTATTAATTCTATGAATATTGTGAAGTTCATTCATGGCGTTAGGAAGATATGTCAGCTCAAAACTTCAATTAAAGGCAAAAATAATAATAAAACTATAACCTGATCGTTTCGAAAAGTAGACTTTTCTTCATCAGAGAAATAATCAGAACACCCAGTTCTATGTAGGGACTACGTTCCTAAATATTAAGGGTGCCAGGGACCCCAAAATACAATGTTGGCACATTGCATGACGTAGTACGATTGTTTTGTTGTTGTGTGTATTAACTCTCATCTTTTACAGCGAAAGTGTTTGACCTATCCAACATTTTCGCTCGATTTAGCACACAGATTTCATATTTCACTATATAGAAAATTAAAGTGATAGATTAGCTAGACCTCAAAAATATTTTCGTCACGAGATAGTGGATTAGTTTACATCAGATATCCATTGGGCTGTTTCCCTCAGTTAAATACACGAGATTCACTTGAATAATATCCACCTACTTGACATACATTATACAGTACTCAACTAGTTGATGGTTGTAGTACGATTTACAGATAACGTTTATTATCGTTTGGTTTGGCTATAAGTCAAGTGTTTACTGGGTTCGAACTGATTTAAACACACAATTATAAAGTCAAGTTTTCGCTGTTTTGTACAATAAAATAATTACAAAAATTAAAATTACTAAAGAAAGTGCCAGAATCACATTTTCAGAAACTTTATACAAAATTCCGAATTTTAACTGAAGATAATTTAAGGAACACCTGCCACGCGATGTGGATCAAAAAAGTCGTTTCGGAAAGGTTTGGGTTGGTTAGATTAGACAAAGAGAGAGAGAGATTTTTGGCACTATTTTCGAGGTCTAGTAGGCCGCTGGACCAGATGCGTGACCTGAACAGACCATAAGAGCCAACATGGAGAAGTTAACTTGTAAATGTAAAGTAAAACGATGTAGCAATAAAACATGCTTGATATGTTCTAGATGTGTTTGTGAATGTGGTGGTTTAAGTGATTAAGCTACACCGTGGGTCCAGGTCGGATGAGGGAAGAACTTATCTCAAGATATCCCACTCGAGTTGACACACTAGCTGAATCGGAGATTCGTCATTACCTCCGCTATCGAAGGTGAGTAGGTTACCCCCACCCTCACTGTGTGTATTTGTCAGCAAATTATCTCGAAAACAGCTGACGAAAGTTGGTATACATTTAGACTATGACCCAACTTAGAAGTGATTAGTTTTTGAACGGTCAAGGCCACGAAAATTTGATAACATGTGGCAAGTGTTAAAAATGAAATATTTGAATATTTTACGTAGTTTAGCCAATTTTAAAGCGTCGTTAGAACTTTAAATTATTACTTATCTTGAATTATCAGGTTAAGTGTACAAAATGAGACTACGCCTATTATTATTCCAAACTGAATGAGTGCAGGAACAACATATCCATGAAACAACTTAAGATAATAAACAACAATGTGGACTAGCACAAAGAAGAACACAACCTACATACCCGACAAGCATCGTTCCCTTCCTCTCCACCGGCACAGAAGCTACTAGCCGGTAATACGAAAAGCTTTTCGGTCACTGCGTTGATCTTGTCGGTACATTCCTGGTCAGCCACGATTGGTATTTCAGCCTCACGAACTTTGAGGGCGATAGGACCAGCTACGAAAATTACAAAAGTTTATATATTTTACTGTTGTCATCCTTAGAATTCACGATTTTAATAAGCACAATACGTACAATGATAGTTATAGCGAACACGCCAGAAAGTTTAGTGTGAACCTGCGTCATTGTAACATACACCTCACATCTCCAGGAGTTAACCACCTATATACAACCTCGGCTCTTCTCGAGAAGTATCGATAATTCTGTCTAGGCAACATTCTAATAAAGTACTTTCTTGTTCACATTACAGAAGTGTATAACTTAGTATATTCTCTCTTTGTAAATATACAATCATTGTAAAATGTTTCTGCTTTTCAACCACTGCTAATCATTTTAATTTGTTATCCTTTCCCATCATTGTAAGCTTATCGTTTGAAGATACTTTTCTTCCACAAGCAAGGTCGTTTTTGTCTAATTAATAATAATTCAACCAACCTCAACACCCGTCTTTTCGTAGGTTACCCGATTACGTTGTTACCCAAAAGTCTGGCCAATGAAAATGTTTTGCATGATTTACTATTTAAATATGGTAAATCCTGGAATATAATTCGGGATACTTGCTCTTGTAAACCAAAACAATCAACCAATGGCAATATACGATGATTTATGTCATACTGCCCTCTGTTAGTGTTAACCATATCAACTAACCAATAAACGCATACTAACCTTCCCCTTGGTATCCATATCCAGTTACAGTACACCGTTTCCCTGGCTGTCGAATAACTCCCCTAGCTGGTAGACAAACAAAACAAACATCACTGTTCAATTCGATTTGTTTTTCCAGCTTCAGCAGAGCAATGTCATTATCCAGTGTTTGGCTGTTGTGATTATGATGGATGTACGTGGTGTATACTCGGCGAGTCTGTGCTCCTGGACTGCCTAAAGGAGTACTCAAGTCAAAGTCTCCTACCCGCACGTAAATGTAGTCCCCATTCTTCACTAGACTGCGGAAGAAGTAGAAACTTGCTTATCTCGGTCTACACAAGTACAATTCAATTGATTAAATCTGGTACACTCTATAACAGTCATTGTTCATCAAATCTAATAATATATAGGGCGTCCCAGAAGTTGGACCCATAAGGAAAATATGTATTATATTCTTAAAGTTAAACAAAGATTTCTGATGTTACTTCTACATATTTCAGGAAAGTATGCCAAGAATTGATATATGTATGGCTGTTAATGACATGTCATATGAATAGTAAATGAATCAAGTATAAATTGTGTATATTTTCCCTGGAACACTCTGAATATACATTGTTACGTATCTGCTTGTTTGTTAATTTTCCGGTAGAAATTCTTTCAGAAGAACTTCAGCGATACAAGTCCTTTCTTGATTAAATTAGTTTATTCTTTCTCGATACAAACTTTTTTTTATTATTCCTTTAAACTCCCAGTGGAGCATAGGGCCCAACAACACCTCGCCAACGGAAGTTATTGTTGCAGTTATTTGTAGCAGGTTAGTTTTTACGGGGTGGAGTTGCTAACCCCACGCCCAACCCTCCTCCTTTCTCAACCTGGACTTGCGACCAGGCAATGGCAGAGGTTGACATGTTTGGTGTGACGGGGATTCGAACCCGCGACCCTCAGATTACGAGTCGAGCACCCTAACCACCTGGCCATGCCGGGCCTGATACAAACTTTAGTACACAATCAGTACGTTTCTCGTCATTTTAAACTTAACAAATTTTATAATACATGCTATAAATCACAGTGATGCACAATCTCGACGAGTACAAAATACACACTTTATTATTTTTCGAAAAACCGTAACTACTGTTCACTTAACTATATATTCAATCCTGCAGGCTTTCACTGTCAGGCTTATATACTAACAAAGAAGCGTCTCTTGATAACTGGTTCCCAGGTCATCACTTTCCCATCTCCAGAGAAGAATACCATCTTCAAGCTTCAACTGGTCCCATTGTACACAATAGTTCTTTGTCACAGGGCTTAAGCTAGACACCTTCTCCCAAGCAGGGTACAAAACACTTGCTTGTAGAAAATCAATTATTGGCTTCAAATCTTGGTCTTTCTCTTGTTCTGCTTTAATATCGATACTTGATTCCACTTCACCATCATCAACTCCTTCAGTCACTTTGACTTCAGCTTGATGGCACCTGGTTAGT